GAAAAATCCCTTTAACCCATGCCTACACTGATCCAGTGCTTTATACATTTGTGGAGAGTAGTGAATGAGTGCGCACTTCAGGAGGAAGGGGAGATTATTAGGACACAACCCAGGAGAAACCAGCCCTAAGTCTTATTGAACACTAAACACCAAACTGTCTGATGTAACTAAATGAACCTTGAGTGTCACATCAACAGGCGTGCGATTATTATTTATCCAGGTCATGCTGACGACTGGACAGACGTTTTAACTTATTGAGCAACCATCTGACGTATTGAACATCAGTTACCAGGTCAATATTGGTTCATCCTAAATAATGTTGCATGTGATAGATTGTACGTTATCGCTCTGTCATTCGGCACAATGTGCAGTTCTACGTTGTAGGCGTATGTGTCGTGACGTGCGCACGTGTGTGTCTGTGTGTGTGCGTGTGCGTGCGTGTGCGTGCGTGATATAAATGAGGCCCACTATCACTATAAGACAAGAAGCTGCAGATCTCAGTGGAACCCTGAGGGATATCATTTATATTTAAATCACATCTCTCATGTCTTTCTACCTCAAGTCACATCACATTGGTTGCGTCCAAAATGGCACCCTCTACTCCCTATACAGTGCGCTACTTTTGACCAGGGCCCTACAGAGCAATTCTCAACAATGTCTGCCGGGTTTTTCAATTGAACTGCCTCCCTCGTGTCTTTCCTACGATAGAGAGGTTCTCAAAGATGATTTATAAAAAAAACGACTTCTAATCTCATGTTGTTGTGGTGGTAGATGTAAAGTATATGAACTGTTCCATCCACATCGTGTAGAGCATGTCGTGAGCATGCAAAAACACTAAAGACAGAGCATGTTGAGGCAGCGTCATGATTTTGACAGCTACATGCTTCCATTTAGCCTACATCTTCTTTTAAATTTACGTTGAGATCCAAGACGTAAATCTTCAGTAGGATTCAGGGGATCGCAGCCTTCATCTTCAGACAGAACTGAACAGAGGAGGCTGGTGTGAGGAGCTACAGGAGGACGGGTTCATTGCAATGGCTGGAGACGGTATCAAACGCATCAAACATATGGAAACCAGACGTTTGACTCCATTCCATTTATTCCATTCCAGCCATTACAATGAGCCCGTCCTCCTATAGCTCCTCCCACCAGCCTCCACTGGAACTGACAGACAGCAAATCCTTCTATACAGTAATATACACCACCACCTTCCATCTACTACAGAACTAAACCCAGCACCTCCTTAATCCAACTGGTCCCTCATGTCCCCAGGCTATTAACAGATACCAAATACAGTACTGCTACTGGGTCCTTTGATGGTCAGGTCTATTTAACAGATAGTATGGAGTACAGGAATAGTCAGCCAGCCAGTCAGCCAGTCAGCCAGTCAGCCAGTCAGCCAGCCAGTCAGCCAGCCAGCCAGTCAGCCAGCCAGCCAGCCAGCCAGCCAGCCAGCTAGCCAGCCAGCCAGTCAGCCAGCCAGCCAGCCAGCCAGTCAGTCAGCCAGTCAGTCAGTCAGCCAGTCAGCCAGCCAGTCAGTAAGCCAGTCAGTCAGCCAGTCAGCCAGCTAGTCAGACAGTCAGACAGTCAGCCAGTAAGCCAGCTAGTCAGACAGTCAGACAGTCAGCCAGTCAGCCAGCCAGTCAGCCAGCCAGCTAGCCAGCCAGTCAGCCAGCCAGCCAGCCAGCCAGCCAGCCAGCCAGCCAGCTAGCCAGCCAGTCAGCCAGCCAGCCAGTCAGTCAGCCAGCCAGCTAGCCAGCCAGTCAGCCAGTCAGCCAGTCAGTCAGTCAGTCAGTCAGTCAGTCAGTCAGCCAGTCATCATATAGTTTGTTACATAACAAATCCAGACAGAAATCCATTTGTAAGATATCCATGTCTCAGTGCCCAAAGGAGGCTCAAGCTGTGAATGTCCTGGCTCGCACGCCACTACCCAACGTACCCTAGCCAAAATAATTACTTCCTTGTCTTAAAGCTACAGGCTGGAATTTGGGAAGCTATTCAAATGGTCACTTCAATTCTTGATATTTACTGTAGCTATAAGAAAGCATTGGTTAATTAGTTAAACCTCAACATACAGCACTATATGAACATAATGCACTATATGAACATAATGCACTATATGAACATAATGCACTATATGAACATAATGCACTATATGAACACTATATGAACATAATGCACTATATGAACACTATATGAACATAATGCACTATATGAACATAATGCACTATATGAACATAATGTACTATATGAACACTATATGAACATAATGCACTATATGAACATAATGCACTATATGAACACTATATGAACATAATGCACTATATGAACACTATATGAACATAATGCACTATATGAACACTATATGAACATAATGCACTATATGAACACTATATGAACATAATGCACTATATGAACATAATGCACTATATGAACACTATATGAACATAATGCACTATATAAACACTATTTAAACATACAGTATTACACTACCGGTCAAAAGTTTTAGAACACGTACCCATTCAAGGGTTTTTCTTTATTTTGACTATTTTCTACATTGTAGAAACTATGAAATAACACATATGGAATAATTTATTAAGCAAGAAAGTGTTAAACAAATCAAAATATATTTTATATTTGAGATTCTTAAAATAGCCACCCTTTGCCTTGATGACAGCTTTGCACACTCTTGGCATTCTCTCAACCAGCTTCATGAGGTAGTCACCTGGAATACATTTCAATTAACAGGTGTGCCTTCTTATAAGTTAATTTGTGGAACTTCTTTCCTTCTTAATGTGTTTGAGCCAATCAGTTGTGTTGTGACAAGGTAGGGGTGGTATACAGAAGATAGCCCTATTTGGTAAAAGACCAAGTCCATACTATGGCAAGAACAGCTCAAATAAGCAAAGAGAAACGACAATCCATCATTACTTTAAGACATGAAGGTCAGTCAATCCGGAAAATTTCAAGAACTTTGAAAGTTTCTTCAAGTGCAGTCGCAAAAACCTTCAAGAGCTATGATGAAACTGGCTCTCATGAGGACCGCCACAGGAAAGGAAGACCCAGAGTTACCTCTGCTGCAGAGGATAAGTTCATTAGAGTTACCAGCCTCAGAAATTGCAGCCCAAATAAATGCTTCACAGAGTTCAAGTCACAGGGACATCTCAACATCAACTGTTCAGAGGAGACTGTGTGAATCATTGCTGCAAAAAAAAACACTACTAAAGGACACCAATAATAAGAAGAGACCTGCTTGGGCCAAGAAACACGAGTGATGGACATTAGACGGGTGGAAATTCGTCCTTTGGTCTGGAGTCCAAATTAGAAATGTTTGGTTCAAATTGCTGTGTCTTTGTGAGATGCGGGGTGGGTGAACGGATGATCTCTGCATGTGTAGTTCCCACTGTAAAGCATGGAGGAGGAGGTGTTATGGTGTGGGGGTGCTTTGCTGGTGACACTGTCTGTGATCTATTTAGAATTCAAGGCACACTTAACCAGCATGGCTACCACAGCATTCTGCATTGATACGCCATCCCATCTGGTTTAGGCTTAGTGGGACTATCATTTGTTTTTCAACAGGACAATGACCCAACATACATCCAGGCTGTGTAAGGGCTACTTGACCAAGAAGGAGAGTGATGGAGTGCTGCATCAGATGACCTGGCCTCCACAATCCCCCGACCTCAACCAAATTGAGATGGTTTGGGATGAATCGGACCGCAGAGTGAAGGAAAAGCAGCCAACAAGTGCTCAGCATATGTGGGAACTCATTCAAGACTGTTGGAAAAGCATTCCAGGTGAAGCTGGTTGAGAGAATGTGTAAAGCTGTCATCAAGGCAAAGGGTGGCTATTTGAAGAATCTCAAATATAAAATATATTTGTTTAACACTTTTTTGGTTACTACATGATTCCATATGTGTTATTTCATAGTTTTGATGTCTTCACTATTATTCTACAATATAGAAAATAGTAAAAATAAAGAAATACCCTTGAATGAATAGGTGTTCTAAAACTTTTGACCGGTAGTGTATATCTTTTCATAAGTATTCACACCCCTGAGTCAATACTTTGTAGAAGCATCTTTGGCGGTGATTACAGCTTTGAGTCATCTTGCTAATGTCTGTATCAGCTTTGCACATCTGGATTTGTGGATTTTCTCCCATTCTTCCTTGCAGATTTTCTCAAACTCTGTTAAGTTAGATGGGGAGCGGTGGTGAACAGCAATCTTCAAGTCTTTCAACATATTTTCAATGGGATTCAAGTCTGGGCTTTGGCTGGGCCACTCAAGGACATTCTTGTTCTGAAGCCATTCCAGCATTGCTTTGGCTGTATGTTTTGGGGCCATTGTCCTCTTGGAACGGAAATCTTCGCCACAGTCTAAGGTCATTTTTCACTCAGAAGCAGGTTCTCATTGAGGATTTACCAGTATTTGTCGCCATTCATCGTTCCCTCTATCCTTACCAGTCTCCCAGTCCCTGCCTCTGAAAAGCATCCCCATAGCATGATGCTGCCACCACCATGCTTCACCGTAGGGATGGTGTTAGATGGGTGATGAGCTGTGCCTGGTTTTCTCCAAATAATAAAAAATGTATCTCATCAGGCCACAGAATATTTTACCTTATGCTCTCAGAGTCTTTCTCGTGCCTTTTTACAAACTCCAGGCCTGCTATCATGTGTCTTTTTCACAGGAGTGGCTTCCGTCTGGCCACGCTCTCCCAGATTGGGGAAGTGCTG